TTGTGTGTGTGTGTGTGTGTGTGTGTGTGTGTGTGTAGTAGTAGTAGTAGTAGTACGTGGGTTTTACTCACTGAGCTTTTAAAATTTTTTCATTTTGAGGCAGGAGCTCACTAAAGTGTCCAGGTTGGGCTCCAACTTGGGATCCTCCTGCCTCAGCCTCTGAGATGGTGCTGATTTTGCAGGCGGGCGCCCTACACCCACCTTAGCTCATATTGTTTGAGGCATCACCCAGGAGCCGGGCAGTGGGCTGGGGCCTTGGTGAGCTGGGGGGAAGCAGGGGAAGGGGGACCCTTGTAGGGCCTTGGGGGCCACTTGGGGACTTGGGTTTCTTCTCTGAATGACTGGGCTATGGCAGGGTTGTACCTATGAGCTGACCCCAGCTCTTGCAGGGTGGATTGAATACAGGATGCCCAGGAGATGCCAGACTTCAGATAAACAGTGAACACGTTTGAAGGTCTAAACGCAGCACCCGGCCTGCAGGGACGCCCTTACCCCGTCCAGCCTCTATCCACCCATCTGTCTAGAACTCTTTGCCTGAGGATTCAACTCCATCCCATATTTCTCCTGCCCCTCTGCCTGCTGCGCTGAGACCCCCGACCCATTCAGGTTGTGAGTGACCATCAGGGCCCAGCTGCGCCCTCAGGGAGCCAGGCTGGGGCCCCGCCTACCTCCTGGGGCTGTCATGCAGCATGGTGAGGTTGCTGGGCCCCCAGGGAAGAGCAAGGCCAGAACCTGATGACCTCAGCGCCCAGAATCCTTCACTGCCCTTCCTGCGGAAGGGACAAAACCGGAAGAACCGAGCCCAAAGCTTGGGAAGTTATGCAACTGTCATCTCTGTCAGTCAGAGCTGCTGTCTCTGCTGTAGACACACAGGCCTTGTATCAGCTCTTAGACCTTGGCCAGGATCTCGGTCCTGCCCCAGGGCCTTTGCATGTACAGCCACATGCCATGAAGGTCATTCTCTGCTCCTCAGGGCTGACACTCCAGGCTCTATTCCATCCAAGCCTTCCTGACTTTGTTAAAGGGAATTCTACCAGACCTGTTCTCCACTGACTCAGTATGTCCAGCATCACCCTGCTTATATCTGCACTCAACCACGGTCTATAAATATTCTTCCAAAAGAATACAAGCACCATGAAAGTGGGGCTATTGTGTTTTTTTTTTTCTTTGAAACAGTGCTTTGCTAAATTGCCCAGGCTTGACTCTAACTTGTGATTCTCCTGCCTCAGCCTCAAAGTGCTGGGATTACTGTTGTGCATCACCATGCCCAGCTGGGACCAACTTTTTTTTTTAAATCAGTGGTAGACTTTAATGGCACGTCACAGGTGCCCAGTAACATCTGTGAAGTAACTGGAGGAGTGAAATCACTGAGAGAGGGCTGTGACTGGCTCGGAGCAGAGCCAGTGGGGCTCGCACCCCTTACTTCACTCTGAGGTCTGCATCCTGGAGCTCATGAGGGTGAGGACTGTGTCCCCTCACCCCTCCAGGATCCGGAGCCGCAGGTGAGCCAGGGCGCCATTCCGAGCCTGTTAGTGGCTACCACACTTGTTCAAAGGCTTGGCTTTGCTGGGTGCAGTGGCGCACACCTGCCATTCCGGCACTCTGGAGGCTGAGGCAGGAGGATTGTTGTGAGTTCAAGGCTAGCCTGGGCCACACAGCAAGGCCCTGTCTCAAAAACACAAAACAAGACAAATACATGCTTCAGTTGTGCTA